GTAAAAAAAAAGAAGAGAAAAGAGAATTATAAGATTTCTTTTATATGTTGTTTTTGCTGATTCTTTGTCTGGACGTTGGTGCCAGAGAATCGGATGTGGAGTATCAGGTTGCACTGATAAGGACCAAGGAGCTGCACGTGTAGCAGTCTCCGCGGTCCAGACACAAGTCCCCGCAGTCAGTTCGCTGGTAGCTCGTAATCGGTCAACACATTGTATTGTCCTTATTTATACCCCTTTTTTTTAACTGTTCTCCCCTTTTTATTTCAAAAAAAAATTTTTTGTTTTCCTTTTATCACGCGCGGATCGGGAGTGTAGTGCATCTTGTGAATAAAAAAAAAGTGTTTTTTTTTTTAAAGAAAAATAGTGTTTTTTTTTTTTAAAGAAAAATAGTGTTAAGTGCACGGTGATATAATGGATCATCGCCAAAGACTATTAGCCCTTCTAGAGAAGGTGAAAGGGATGCGACCTGCCCGCGATCAGGAGAGGAGAGAGCGTGACCCCGGTGAGGAGACAAACCGTCACATAGAGAAGTTAGCTGGGTGCATCCGACTGCACAACATGATTGGGCAAATTGGAGGGGAGAGAGGGTAAGTCAAATTTTATATTGTTAATAAAATTTTCGAAAATATGTATTTTTTTTTACACAAATCTTAAAGAAATAATATTTTAAGAAAATGTACATTTTTAATGGAATTTTGGAAAGAATTCCATTACTAAAAATTTGAGAAAATACACAGTTTTCCAATAGAGTTTAAAAACAATCTTGTTAATATAATTCTTCCGGAAAATGTGCATTTTTGATAAAATTTCGAAAGAAATAATGTTTTAAGAGAATGTACATTTTTAATGGAATTTTGATAATAATTTCATTACCAAAAGTTGAGAAAATACACATTTTTCCAACAGAATTTCAAAACAATCTCGTTAATATAATTCTTCTGGAAAATGTGCACTTTTGATGAAATTTCGAAAAAAATTTTATTTTAAGAAAATGTACATTTTTAATGGAATTTTGGAAATAATTCTATTACTTAAAATTTGAGAAAATACACATTTTTCCAAAAGAGTTTAAAAACAATCTTTTCAATAAAGTTCCCTTGGAAAATGTGCATTTTTTATGAAATTTCGAAAGAAATTTTATTTTAAGAAAATGTACATTTTTAATGGAATTTTGTAAATAATTCCATTACTTAAAATTTGAGAAAATACACATTTTTCCAACAGAATTTCAAAACAATCTTGTTAATAAAATTCCTCTGGAAAATGTGCATTTTTGATAAAATTTCGAAAGAAATAATGTTTTAAGAAAATGTACATTTTTAATGGAATTTTGGAAATAATTCCATTACTAAAATTTGAGAAAATACTCATTTTTCAAACAGAATTTTAAAACAATCTCGTTAATATAATTCTTCTGGAAAATGTGCATTTTTGATAAAATTTCGAAAGCAATTTTATTTTAAGAAAATGTACATTTTTAATGGAATTTTGGAAAGAATTCCATTACCAAAATTTGAGAAAATACACATTTTTCCAAAAGAGTTTAAAAACAATCTTTTCAATAAAGTTCCCTTGGAAAATGTGCATTTTTGATGAAATTTCGAAAGAAATTTTATTTTAAGAAAATGTACATTTTTAATGGAATTTTGGAAATAATTCCATTACTTAAAATTTGAGAAAATACACATTTTTCCAAAAGAGTTTAAAAACAATCTTTTCAATAAAGTTCCCTTGGAAAATGTGCATTTTTGATGAAATTTCGAAAGAAATAATATTTCAAGAGAATGTACACTTTTAATGGAATTTTGGAAATAATTCTATTACTTAAAATTTGAGAAAATACACATTTTTCCAACAAACTTTCAAAACAATTTTGTTAATATAATTCCTCTGGAAAATGTGCATTTTTAATAAAATTTCGAAAGAAATAATGTTTTAAGAAAATGTACATTTTTAATGGAATTTTGGAAATAATTCCATTACTTAAAATTTGAGAAAATACACATTTTTCCAACAGAATTTCAAAACAATCTTGTTAATAAAATTCCTCTGGAAAATGTGCATTTTTGATAAAATTTCGAAAGAAATAATGTTTTAAGAAAATGTACATTTTTAATGGAATTTTGGAAATAATTCCATTACTAAAATTTGAGAAAATACACATTTTTCCAACAGAATTTTAAAACAATCTCGTTAATATAATTCTTCTGGAAAATGTGCATTTTTGATAAAATTTCGAAAGCAATTTTATTTTAAGAAATTTTATATTTTTAATGGAATTTTGGAAAGAATTCTATTACTAAAAATTTGAGAAAATACACCTTTTTCCAACAGAATTTTAAAACAATCTCGTTAATATAATTCTTCTGGAAAATGTGCATTTTTGATAAAATTTCGAAAGCAATTTTATTTTAAGAAAATGTACATTTTTAATGGAATTTTGGAAAGAATTCCATTACTAAAAATTTGAGAAAATACACATTTTTCCAACAGAATTTTAAAACAATCTCGTTAATATAATTCTTCTGGAAAATGTGCATTTTTGATAAAATTTCGAAAGCAATTTTATTTTAAGAAAATGTACATTTTTAATGGAATTTTGGAAATAATTCCATTACTTAAAATTTGAGAAAATACACATTTTTCCAACAGAATTTCAAAACAATCCTGTTAATATAATTCCTCTGGAAAATGTGCATTTTTGATAAAATTTCGAAAGAAATAATATTTCAAGAGAATGTACATTTTTAATGGAATTCTGGAAATAATTCCATTACTAAAAATTTCAGAAAATACACATTTTTCCAATAGAGTTCAAAAACAATCTTTTTGATGAAATTCCCATGGAAAATGTGCATTTTTGATGAAATTTCGAAAGAAATAATATTTTAAGAAAATGTACATTTTAATGGAATTTTGGAAATAATTCCATTACTTAAAATTTGAGAAAATACACATTTTTCCAATAGAGTTTAAAAACAATCTTTTTAATAAAATTCCCCTGGAAGATGTACATTTTTGATGAAATTTCGAAAGAAATAATATTTTAAGAGAATGTACATTTTTAATGGAATTTTGGAAATAATTCCATTACTTAAAATTTGAGAAAATGCACATTTGATAAAATTTCGAAAGCAATTTTATTTTAAAAAAATGTACATTTTTAATGGAATTTTGGAAATAATTCCATTACTAAAATTTGAGAAAATACACATTTTTCCAACAGAATTTCAAAACGATCTCGTTAATATAATTCTTCTGGAAGATGTGCATTTTTGATAAAATTTCGAAAGAAATAATGTTTTAAGAGAATGTACATTTTTAATGGAATTTTGGAAATAATTCCATTGCTGAAATTTTGAGAAAACTCAACACTTTATTATTATTATTATTTATTTTTTTTATTTTTAAGGTTTTTGATGGAATTTGGCAATTGGGGACGAGCGCCTGTGCGGGAGGACGAAGAGGCACTATGGTGCTTGGACCCCGTGCTGCGCAACAGCAGCCCAAAAAAACGGTACTCTCGATGCCAATGGTACCAGGAGTACCGTTGGTGCGAGAGCACGCGTTCTTATATGTGCCGAGGCTTCTGGGCAATTGTAAGTGATGTTGTTTTTCTATCTTTTTTTAATGGAATTTTTGAGGAAATGAAAGAGAAAAGAAACTAATCCCTCCTTTTTTTTCTTTTTATATATGAGAGATTCTTTTTCAATCGCCCCAGCCCAAAAAGTCAATGTTCTGGGATTGGCTTCATACTTTGGTAAATTGTTCTCCTATATGATAGTAATAAATCCCTAAAATATAAACTCATTAAAAAAATATTTGTAGAAAGTAAAGGGGGTTGAAGTTTTGACGTTAAGGGTAACATTGTCATTTTCAAATCCGTATAGCTATGACAAAAGTTAATGGATTTTAATTTATCTATAATGAATTTTATTGCATTTTTCACGTACTTTTCAAAAATGTATACGAAATTTAAAAAAAAAATTTTTAACCCCCTTTTTTTCAAAATCAACCCTTATTTTTCGATTTTCACCCCTTCGGGTATTTTTTTTTTTTTTTTTATTTTCATTGGAAAGCTGAGGTTTTTTCCCATGAGCTATGTAAATATGAAAATGGGACAACAATAATTTTGTGAGTAACAGAATATTAAAGTAGGCGGTGCCGATAAGGGGTGTACCTGGAGATCATCTTTGAGGATTTAGATAGGCACCGCCTAATTTAATATTATGTTTCTCACAAAATTATTGTTGTCCCATTTTCATATTTACATAGCTCATGGGAAAAAACCTCAGCTTTCCAATGAAAATAAAAAAAAAACAAAAAAAAATTCCCGAAGGGGTGAAAATCGAAAAATAAGGGTTGATTTTGAAAAAAAGGGGGTCAAAAATTTTTTTTTTTAAATTTTGTATACATTTTTGAAAAGTACGTGAAAAATGCAATAAAATTCACTATAGATAAATTAAAATCCATTAACAAAGTTATACAGATTTGAAAATTATAATGTTACCCTTAACGGCACGGCCTACTTTAATATTCTGTTACTCACAAAATTATTGTTGTCCCATTTTCATATTTACATAGCTCATGGGAAAAAACCTCAGCTTTCCAATGAAAATAAAAAAAAAAAAAAAAAAATACCCGAAGGGGTGAAAATCGAAAAATAAGGGTTGATTTTGAAAAAAAGGGGTTAAAAAATTTTTTTTTTAAATTTCGTATACATTTTTGAAAAGTACGTGAAAAATGCAATAAAATTCATTATAGATAAATTAAAATCCATTAACTTTTGTCATAGTTATACGGATTTGAAAATGACAATGTTACCCTTAACGTCAAAACTTCAACCCCCTCTACTTTCTACAAATATTTTTTTAATGAGTTTATATTTTAGGGATTTATTACTATCATATAGGAGAACAATTTACTAAAGTATGAAGCCAATCCCAGAACATTGACTTTTTGGGCTGGGGCGATTGAAAAAGAATCTCTCATATAGCCCTTTTTACGGACCCGACCATCGTCAGGGAGGCGGTTGGGGACTTCCCTATTCTTCAGGGATGGTGGAGATCTGGCCGAGATAAGTCTATATGGTTAGTAGTAAGAATAAAGTATATTTTACCTATCTTTTTTTTCAATTTATTTATTTATATATATAAAAATTTTTTTTTTTTTTTTTTTTTTAAAGGAAACTTCGTTCGCTCCCACCAGTGCCGCCCCAGGTTGGGTTTCAGCCTATAAGCAATGCCTTCGCCCTCTCTTTCCTCCAGTGCTTCTACTGGACCAGGGAGGGTCAAGCCAGGACTCGAGCTAGATGGCAATTGGTAAGTGTCAGGAAATAAAATTATAAAATAAATGAATAGTAAAAGAGAAGGAAAGGCAAAAATTAATAAATTAAAATAATAAAAAAAAAACAACACAAAAAAAAAATATATTTTTTTTTTTTTTGCATGCATGAGGATTACAAGAGATAGATTTCATGTGAGGTGGCGAAAGTGCTGGAGGAACTCCACTCCATTATTTCTTTTTTTCTCTTTTAAGAAAATCCGGGTTCCAGTAAGCAGGGTGTGGCAGGGAGTTGGTCAGGAGGGTTACCTGCTGAAGCCGTTCATGTAGGCTGTCTCCCCCCAGGCCAGAAGACACGTCCTCCCTCCCTTTTCGCGCGTGGCATTTTCATTGTTTTTTTTTTTTTTTTTTTTTCTTTCTATATAATTAAAAATTTCTTCTTCTTTTTTTTTTTTTTTTTTTTTTGTATGATTGTATCAAAAAAATAAACTTATAGGAATTGCCTTTTTTTTCTTAAATTTTTGGTTTTCTTTACCCTCCCTCTTCCCACCCTTTTTTTTCAGAGCCACCAGCGACACTGGTTCCCTTTTGTAAAAACAATTTAGTTGAGGATTAATTAAATTAATTTAACTTTTCTTATTACAACTTAAAATTATTCTTTTTTTTTTTTTTTTTTTTTTTTTTTTTTTTTTTTTTTTTTTTTTAAGCATAGCTTTTGTTCAGGATTTAGAGGGGAGGGGACCTTCAATGTTTCAGCGCTTCGATACAAGGTAAGTTACATTATTCTATTCTCTCTATTCTTCACAAATCAATGATGACAAAAATTAAAATAATATCGGGTAGAGTTTATCCGCTAACACTATCAATTATCCTTACGTGATTTTCCACGACCGATCTCTTCATCAACCAGGCACTGACCCAAAACTCCCACAAATCATTAGACAGGTGATGATGTCTCGTTAGAGCACATTTGCACCCAGTCTTTTGACAACGTGGTAGGAAAGGATGTCTGGCAAAATATTGAGGGCGGCCCAAGTGGCAGTTCGGCGGTCAGACCACGTAAGCCTCCCTCTACAGGAGTTCTCTGTTTTTTTTTACATGAGAATGTGCTAGGACCTGTCCCGACGGTGCTGAAATTGATTTTAGAGATCGCCCGTGGGTCCTCATGCGAAGATAAAATAAATCAAAGCAAACAACAATCAAACAAAGCAAAAAATTAAAAGAAACTTTGGTTCGCTTTATATGTATGAAATATACATACATATATATATATATATCTACGTACACACATTTGCACATAGCACACATATATGCATATTCATTCTTAACTAGACTGGTTGGAGTGTTTGTATGGGTAATACAATTACCCTTTTTAAACAGTTTCTTCGTTGGTGAACTGACACTAGTTGATGATGTTGATTTCGTTGTCGAAATTCCGAAGCCTTCGGAATTTAGTTGTCAAGATTGGGTTGTAGGTACAAGATTCTTAGGTGCCTCAGCGGTCGATGGTTGGAGTTCCACGCCTTGTTCTAGATTCGTAGATGTTGAAGGGATTTTTCCAGATCTCTGCATATCTAGGTGCTCGTCTTGATCTCCTTAACTTATACCCTGTCTTCGGAACGGGATCAGCCTTGTTCCTTTTGAAATTACTTTTGCCAGCGATAGTCCTGATTTTCCTACTGATTGAGTGTCGACATAGAAGGAGGAGACTGATGATGCCAAAAATTATCAATCCACTATAGGACCCATAAATAAGGATAGAGTGATGGGTTCTCCAATTTCGCTGCATCGCAAAATTCTCCAATTCTTGTTCCAGTTGTTCCAGGGTTTTGGAGTTGGTATCGAAACTGGGGGTCCTTCTATTTTGTTCGGACTATTCTCTTGCAACTTCCATCGTAGTTGTTAAATGGGAATAGGTAGAAAATACACTTGAAATCCGTTTTAAGTCCAGGTGTAACTCGGGTTCGTATAGGATTTCCGTTTGGCCTACCTGAGTTGCTGTTGCTGGGATGGTTATGTCTTTTGTTTTTGCTGAACATCCTGGGGCTAGCCTTATTATCCCAGTACCTGTGACATTTATTTTGATCGGATAAGCAGAGTGGCAGATTATCAGTAACACTTCTGGCTTGGCCACTGAATAAAGCCAGGCTGCTAAGGTCCGCAGAGGTTTCCAAAAAGATTCTAGACTTGAAGTAATTCTGATATCACAGGTTCGTAGTACTTTGTCCGTGGGATTGGTCAGGAGTGATACCTCACAGATTGGTCTGTTCTGAAGGTCGTAAATGGGTGATCCTTTCAGACATGCATGGAACGATGTCGTTGTCCTACAATTTTCCCAATCTTTGTCTTTAAGCAAAAGATAGGTTCTTTGCTCTTTGTCGACGATTAAGTAGTTGTATGCAGGATTCACGTATGCCCTAGTAGATGCGTTTCCAAGTTCACCTTGAAGAGTCGGCAGTGGATGTAGTTTGAAGGCTGCATATTTGTCTTGTTCCAGGAGAGGAATGTCCATCAAAATTTTGATTTTGTGGTCCTCGCATAGAATACTGGTCGTGGCTACTTGAATTAATTCGTCAACGCTGACCTTGGGTCCAGGTATGGGGAAAATAACATCAGTGGCGTTATTTCTAATGTCGTCGAGGATAAGTCCCAATTGTTCTGAAGATAAAATTCCAGGATGCAATTGTCCTCTTCTAGCATCGTGAACTGCGTCTAGCATTGTTGTCGTCGTTCGGATGTTGTGATCAAGTCCTAATTTTATGGCAGCCAGTGTTTTGTCCAGGAGTTTGGAGTATTCTTGGAATTCAGAATGTTTAAATTGTCCATTTAGTTCCTTATTCAGGGTGTCGAAAGATTGGTGTAGTTCCTGCAAGACTTCGTCGTGATGTTGCACCTGACTATGCAGACTTTCTAATTGAGACCTAACCACATGTGTCTGCTTTCCAACAAGATGTGATAAGTTTCCTTGTGCTTCATTCAACTCTTGCATAACTGCCTCGTAATGTTCACCATCTTCGTAGTTTAGTACACCAGCGATGGGTCCTGCAATCTTTCCAAGGAATCCAAAAAGGGGAACACTGCGCCGAGCTCGAAATTGTGATGATATCAATATAGGAAGATTCTGTCGTGTACTTTCTAGTTCTTCTAATTGCCGCTGAAGTTCTCGTTGTAGGTCTGCAGCTATTTCCCATCAGTCCTCCCAGGGAAATGATTCGATTCGGACTCCGCACCATTCTTCTTTTGGAAAGCATTGCTGCTTCACGTCGCTCAATTTGTAATTCAAATCCTCGAAATGCCTCACTTGTTTGCCGATGTCCAGGAAGATGCTGATCCTCCAATTACTAACTGACCTTCTTACTTCTCCCGAATATTCGTAATATATCCCACTACTTATGTCAAGTGGGGTAATCTGGTATCCGGGGCCGTCAATTGGTCCTATTGGAACTGGATTCATCTGCGCCTTCACGATAATCGAGTTAGAGAGGTACAAAACGATTAAGTAGTGTGCCAAGTACATCTTTGTTCTAAAAAAAAATTGACTGTATGTTAATAACATAATTTTTGTGAAGGTGACAGTTAAAGATAGGTAACCATCACCTTGTCTTTGTGTTTGGCGAATCTTTCGCCATTGTCATCTTCTAAAATGACATTATTGTTTTGGGTTAACCCTACAACAGTGTACGGACCATTAGCTCGATTGTCGAACTTGTTTGTCCTAACCTCTTTGTAGGTATAGACTTGGTCGCCAACCTTGACCTTCGATGGTCTTGACTTTTGGTCATAAAATTCTTTGGAGCGTTGCTTTGCTCCTTTAAGCTTGTCGGCTGCCAGATTCTGAAGTTCGTGCAATCGGACCACGAGATCCTTTAGGTATGAACCATAGGTTTCTAGTTCTGGCCCAAGTGGCAGGGAGGAAGGGATCCGGGCTATTCGTCCAAAAACTAACTCGAATGGGGTTAGGTGAGTAGCTTCATGAACTGACGTGTTATAATTGAGCATTGCAAAAGGAAGTAGACGATCCCAATCGTCAAAATCTTGAGCGTAGTGCTTAATATAATCCGTCAATTCAATGTGGCTTCTTTCCAATGCTCCGTTAGTTTGAGGGCGGTATCCGGAAGTCGTAAGTTGTTTTACCCCAAAGATGCTTTCAAGTTTCCGCATTAGGGAGCTTATAAAGCTACCTCCTCTATCTGTGAGGACGCATCGAGGCGCTCCATATACAGAAAAGAGGTTTGCTGCTATGGCATGGGCAATGGTGGTTGTTTTTATGTCTGGAATGGGGACCGCAATGCAATATTTACTGAAATTGTCCTGCATTGTTAGTATATGTCTATTGCCGTTAGGAGTGGTTCGAAGCTTCCCCACGGTATCTAATGACACTTTGTCAAAAGGTTGAGCAAGGGTATCTGTTATTAGCATAGGTTCACGAGTTCGAGCCCTGGCGAGTTTATTCTCAAAGCAACTCTTGCATTTGCGAATAAACTCTGTAACTTCGTCTCGCATTCTAGGCCAATAATACCTCTCACGTATTCTTCTATAGGTCTTAGTTATACCTTTATGTCCTCCAATCAGACTGCCATGAAATTCCGATATTATTTTGGGGCGTAATTGTAAAGGTGGTACCTCGATTTTTCCGTGGCATAGTGTGATATTTATATCGCTACCGCGGAATATTCCTGCTAAGAGCTCCGTCATTTTATTTTGAGGGAGTGCTCCTAGAAGGTCACCCGAATTGGCCATTCGGCAATGTTTCTGATTGTCTAAGGTCATATCATGTCTTAAGTTTGTTAGACCAGTGATTACGTCATTCCAATTGATTTCGTCAAAATGTCGCTTTTTCACAATGATTGAGTATACTTTATAGCGTCCACAGATAGTGACGTACACCTGTCCTTTAATTGGTTTACTGTCTCTGATGTCCTGTAAATCGATCTTTTCGGTTGCCACTAAAAGTTTCGCAATGGGGTCAACGGGTTCACAGTCTTCGGAAATAAAGTGGGCGTAATTGTCTCGTTTGTAAGTCAAAGGTTCTGTCCATTGATGTAAAATGTTTGGGGGGTTTAAATGAGCACAATTGTTGGGGTTATCTTCTTCATTGCCTGAGGAATCAGGGGAGGAGGAAGAATCACAATAGGGAAGGTTTAGATCCATTAATAGGTTCCTTTTTGTCTTACTTCCGAACTCACTTGTAGGGGTTAATCTACGGGGTGTGATTTGTGTTTTTCTTCGCACCTTTTCTTCCTGTTTTCCCTTGTTGTAATCCGAAAACCTTAAAAATGGGGTGGAGTGTGCTTTGGGGATTGTTACCCGACCAGGAGTGAATGATGGCAAACTTGCGGCAAGGTTGCGGTCGATGGTAGGGGTTTCAAAAACTTC